ATGTGTACATTCCTGAGACCAGTGTTGAGGAAGTCTTGGATGTGATGACGTCTGCGTGCACTGACCTAGCAGAGTTGCCTGAGCTCCGTGATGTCATTCTCGCCGTGAGCGGCGCGTGCAGGAGGCACAAAGTCTCGCAGTTCCTGATGTCTCAACTCCGCATGAGCGGGCAGATTTCCATCCACGCAGGCAGCCAGCCTGTCCAGGCCGAGGCTCAGAACTTCTACCTTCATGTTGGAGATCACAAGGTGAGGATGACGGAGGTGAAGACAGAGCTGGAGAAGGCAGGACATTTGCAATGTTCCTGTTGATGTGTTCTTTTTGAGGCTCTGTGGTGGACAGGCTGCCCACACAACCACACATATCATATATTTTTGCAGTAGGGCAGGGCCCAACTCTGAAAGATTCTGGCTGGATCTGAATTGTTTGTCTTGCAGGGACTTCCAAAATCTTTTAACATGAGATACATTCGACGCCTTTGAATATGCCGCTGTCTTCTGAAACAGAGCTGTTCTTTGTTCTTCACTTACCCTGTTGCAGGGCTTCGATGTGTACATTCCTGAGACCAGTGTTGAGGAAGTCTTGGATGTGATGGCGTCAGCGTGCACTGACCTGGCAGAGTTGCCTGAGCTCCGTGATGTCATTCTTGCCATGAGCAGTGCGTGCAGAAAACACAAAGCCTCGCATTTCCTGATGTCTCAACTCCGCATGAGCGGGCAGATTTCCGTTCATGCAGGCAGCCAGCCTGTCCAGGCCCAGGCTCAGAATTTCTACCTTCATGTTGGAGATCACAAGGTGAGGATGACGGAGGTGAAGACAGAGCTGGAGAAGGCAGGGAGATTTGCAATGTTCTCGTTAATGTATTCTTTTTGAGGCTCTGTGGTGGACAGGCTGCCCACATAACCACACATATCATATAAATAAATATATATATATATTCTTGCAGTAGGGCAGGGCCCAACTTTGAAAGACTCTGGCTGGATCTGAATTGTTTCTCTTGCAGGGACTTCCAAAGTCTTTCAACATGAGATAAATTCGACGCCATTGAATATGCCGTTGTCTTCTGAAAGAGAGCTGATCTTTGTTCTTCACTTACCCTGTTGCAGGGCTTCGATGTGTACATTCCTGAGACCAGTGTTGAGGAAGTCTTGGATGTGATGGCGTCAGCATGCACTGACCTAGCAGAGTTGCCTGAGCTCCGTGATGTCATTCTCGCCGTTAGCGGCACGTGCAGGAGGCACAAAGCCTCGCAGTTCCTGATGTCTCAACTCCGCATGAGCGGGCAAATTTCCATCCACGCAGGCAGCCAGCCTGTCCAGGCCAAGGCTCAGAATTTCTACCTCCATGTTGGAGATCACAAGGTGAGGATGACGGAGGTGAAGACAGAGCTGGAGAAGGCAGGAGATTTGCAATGTTCTTGTTAATGTGTTCTTTTTGAGGCTCTGTGGTGGACAGGCTGCCCACATAACCACACATATCAGTAGGGCAGGGCCCAACTCTGAAAGACTCTCGCTGGATCTGAATTGTTTCTCTTGCAGGGACTTCCAAAATCTTTCAACATGAGAGACATTCGACGCCATTGAATATGCCGTTGTCTTCTGAAACAGAGCTGATCTTTGTTCTTCACTTACCCTGTTGCAGGGCTTCGATGTGTACATTCCTGAGACCAGTGTTGAGGAAGTCTGGGAGGTGATGGCGTCAGCGTGCACTGACCCAGCAGAGTTGCCTGAGCTCCGTGATGTCATTCTCGCCGTGAACGGGACGTGCAGGAGGCACAAAGCCTCGCAGTTCCTGATGTCTCAACTCCGCATGAGCGGGCAGATTTCCATCCACGCAGGCAGCCAGCCTGTCCAGGCCAAGGCTCAGAATTTCTACTTTCATGTTGGAGATCACAAGGTGAGGATGACGGAGGTGAAGACAGAGCTGGAGAAGGCAGGACATTTGCAATGTTCCTGTTGATGTGTTCTTTTTGAGGCTCTGTGGTGGACAGGCTGCCCACACAACACACATTTCATATATTCTTGCAGTAGGGCAGGGCCCAACTTTGAAAGACTCTGGCTGGATCTGAATTGTTTCTCTTGCAGGGACTTCCAAAATCTTTCAACATGAGATAATTTCGACGCCATTGAATATGCCGTTGTCTTCTGAAAGAGAGCTGATCTTTGTTCTTCACTTACCCTGTTGCAGGGCTTCGATGTGTACATTCCTGAGACCAGTGTTGAGGAAGTCTTGGATGTGATGGCGTCAGCATGCACTGACCTAGCAGAGTTGCCTGAGCTCCGTGATGTCATTCTCGCCGTGAGCGGCACGTGCAGGAGGCACAAAGCCTCGCAGTTCCTGATGTCTCAACTCCGCATGAGCGGGCAAATTTCCATCCACGCAGGCAGCCAGCCTGTCCAGGCCAAGGCTCAGAATTTCTACCTCCATGTTGGAGATCACAAGGTGAGGATGACGGAGGTGAAGACAGAGCTGGAGAAGGCAGGAGATTTGCAATGTTCCTGTTAATGTGTTGTTTTTGAGGCTCTGTGGTGGACAGGCTGCCCACATAACCACACATATCATAAATATATTTATATATATTCTTGCAGTAGGGCAGGGCCCAACTTTGAAAGACTCTG